AAAATAACGAATCATTGCAGCGATTTTTGATCACATGATGTCTTTTGACGCTGAAATTGAGCGTCGAGCGTCAGCATGAAAAGGTACCTTTAGAGTGTTATATAGTGTATTACCTGGTGGTGTTAAATATTTAGAGATAGGATACAGGATTCAGAATTGGATAACTAAGAGTGCGCAGTGAAAGAGAGATATATTTGTACTAGCGAAGGAGGTCGGTCGTGGACTGACTAAGGCTGTCCTTCGTTCAACCTCGCGCATTCTGCCAAATATATATTGTTAAATATTTTCTAAATATTAATTATAGTAAAAAAGAAGAGAGAAAGGTAAAAAATAATATATTCTTCAAATAAAACACTTTTTATATAAATGAAATAAAAATCTTTTATTTGACAGAATCTCAAAGAATACCAACATTCGTTGCAAGGGTAAGGAAAACTGTCAAAAACCTTACCAGTATTCATATAACAAAAATAAATATTAATTAATAATAAATATATATTTAAAATAAAAATATTAACTAAATCAAAATACAAATAACATTATAGAAATTAAAAATTTGGAAAGCCTTTTGATCTTAAATTAAAATCTTTAATAAACAAAAATAATATTGCATGGCTTTCGTCAGATACTAATCAGTCTTATATATATATATCACATTTAATGTTATATATCACATTTTATGTTAGTACAAAATATAATTAAATCTGAAAAATACAATATTAATAGTTTATCCATATAAGTAACATACAACTAAAAAATATTGTATTATGTAAAATATTGTATTATATTATATTATTGTATTATATTAAATATTGTAAAATGTGCTAGATGTATCAGCATGTGTCTGTTATGCAAAAAAATAAAAATAATTAAAAATAAATAATAATTAGACAATAAATATTGCACTAAAATTGCACATAAAAAATAAAATAAACAGAAAAGTCTTAAGTATTAAGAACCATCAGATGAAGTTTCTACTTTTCCATATAAATTTTGCGGATTATGTAATTTTAAATGTTCGGAATCAATTTCAAAATTTGAACAATTAATGCCTTCAGCTTGAAAACTAGATCGCATAATACAAATTGCAGAAACAGTTTTATTAGATAACTGATTTCTTTTTTAGTTTTTACATCTGTAACCATTGAAAAAATTCGTTCCGCTTCAGCATTAGAATGGGGAAAAGAAAGAACCGCTTTGACTAATAACTTTAAATTTTGAAACTTTTTTCCCCATTAAAATTTTTTAATTCTAATATTTTTTTCCACATTATATCGATTTCTAAAGAAGCTAATTCTTTTTTTTCTTTATCATTAAAAACAGATGATAAAATTCTCCATTCAAAAACTAATTTAGTAATATCAATATTAATATCTCCTATACGCGTAGCAATAAATGTTAAATCTTTAAATTGTATTCTAGTTTCATCGTAAAGAGCAACTTTCGGCTGTAAAAATATTAATTGTTCGAAAACAGTATCTCTATATGGCAAACGTTTCAACATTTCGCGAACTGCAGTTATATAAAACTCTAAACAATTTAATTTAATTTCTTGCGCGCATTCCAAAAATAATGTTTCTAAAAGACTTACATTCCGGACCAACATATTAATATCTTTAATATTTTTCTTATTGTTTATATTAAAATTAACAATACACTTTAAAGCTTCTGGAATAATAAAATTTTGTGCTATTTCGCAAATTAATTGTTGGCTATTTTCAAACAATGTATGTATTAAAACTTTACAAGCTTGAAAAAGAACATTAAACTCGTTAAAAAAATTCAACGAATATTTTAAAAGTAATAAATATGCTTTAATACAATTATCATTTAACTGATTTAAAATTATTTCCGCAGATTTTAATTTATCCTTTACTACAGCCAAAATAAAAAATTTTTTAAAACTTTCCAATTATTTAATAATCTAACAACGCATTTATGTAATACCAACCACCGAGTATTTGATAATTTTAAAATCTTATTTCTTTCCACATTGAAAAACGCCTGAAATTCACCTAAAATTGCACATCTCTTTGCACTGCCTGAAATGTAAGTACTAACTCCTCGAATTAAATTTTCGCACGACTCAGGAAGTTTTTCGCATGCTCTACTTGCTACAAGCGCGGATGAATGGCAAATACAGTTTAACGTGACAAGACCCGGTATTTCTAATTTTAATCGTGACATAAAAGAATTATTGTAACCAATCATTTACAGATGCATTATCGCTTGCCATTCCAACAATATTTTGTAAAGGAATTTTGTTTTCATTTAACATATTTTTAAAAATTTCAAAAAGTTTATTCGCGGAACAATCTGTTGCGTCTACAGACAATAAATTTAATAATTGAGTCGTTACTTTTTTAGTTGAATGATGAAACATATTGCACAAGAACACACATAAGCTTTTTATCCGAAATAATCTGTGCTTTCATCTATTAAAATTGAAAATTTAACATTTTTGTTAAATTAGTAACGATTTTTTCAATCTCGCGTTTTGCAATTACTTGTGTAACTACTTTAGTACATTTATCTTGTGCTAATGAGAGATCTGATACAACTTCAGGAATCATACAGATATCTTTCAATAGTGGAATTAAATGATCTGTGGAATAAAATGCAATATTATGCTCAGCAAAAAAATGCTGCTAATTTGATCTCGGCGCGTTTGACTTTTATCTTTATGTGAAAGAGTAACACTACTATTATCATTATTATTCGAAAAATTAATGTTAACATTTTTAGAATTTATTTGTTCAATATGTTGGTCTGATTGCGAATGTTCAAATAAATTTGATTTGCAACATCTGATGGCTTTATTGCATACAGTACACAATGCTTTATGTAGTGTAGGATGTGGAGCTAACCATCCTTTAAAAACATTTTCATCTAGCCATGGGCCTGTTCGTTTTAGTTGCACTGGGGCAGCTCTGGGTTTGCTCTAAACAAGATAATACAGGACAAACTATTTATCTGTCCTGTATTATCCTGTGTAGAGCAGACCCAGAGCAGCCCCAGTGTAGCTAAAACGAACAAGCCCCATGATGATTGAAATTTTCTAATTCTAGGTTTTTTAGCTTTAGGCTCCATAGATTCCATATTTCTGAATAAATAAATAAATCTTACCTTATTTGTACTCACCTAACCTCCTCAAAACGTCCCGCCATACGATTAACACAACCATTGAACTATATACCATACTGGAACGAGCACAGGCTACCCCCTCCATTCGACAAAACGGTCAGACAAGGCAGTGACTCGGTACCGGATTTCTCTTTCTATCTCGTCTACTCTCGACTAATAGTAGTTGTAAACACGTGACCAAAACTGTTGGTTAGATAGAGAGATCCGGGTCCGAACAGCTATCTCCATCTGACCGGTCGAGAACAAAGGCGTGCTCGTTCCAGTATGGTATATATTTCAATG